CCCCCCTCCTCCCCTCCACGCCATTACTTACTGTCATGGGCCATTGGCAGCGTTTTGTCTTGCTTTTGGCCTTTTGTTCCGTTTCGTTTCAGTTTCAGTTTCATTTTCATCTTCGTATCGTTTTTCTTTGCTGATTTTGCTTATGCGAATTTAATTTACCGAAAGTGAGAAATGGGCACGGAGTCGGAGCCGGAGACGGTGTGCCGTTCGCATCCTTCACGCGATCGTCATTACCACCAAAAGAGAGACACGTTAATTGTGTACATACAATACTATAATATATAATATCTCGTACCGATTCGGATCTATTCGTACGAGTAGTCTGTTTGGTTAATGGAAACTGATTACGGCCGAGATGTCCATTCCATTTTCCATTGTCCAATTGCGAGACACGAAATCATAATTTGTTTTCAACTCAAATAATTTGTGGGTTCATTTTGTGTTTATTTACTGCTTCTGGGCAAATGCGAGTGCGTGCTCTCGTAATTGCTCGATTTGGGGTGCGGTTACGTAAGGCCATTTGCGGTTTCGATGTTGATGTTTGTCTCTTCTCCCATAATCAGCGGAGAGAAAGCATAGCAAAAAAAACGATACTGAAGATTCGGCAAGTCGATAATTGGGTACGGTACGGCGATAGCCGGAACCCTATTACAGAATCAACAATACTTTATGAGTCGGAGGAGCTCTTTAAAGATACATCTCTCCATCCCTATCTCTTTTGGGATTCAAGTCAATTTCCCAACAAATATCAATCATCCAACCTCATTCTCCACAATCTCAACCCAATATTCTCCCTCAACCTCTTAATACAATCATACAGAATCCAAAAACCGGAATCAAAATGAGACCCGGCCCCTGTGCACACCTTTGGCTTATCGCTTCATCCTTCAGGGCCATTTCACTTAGTACTTGGGCCAGCAGAAAATTTTCGGCATCAGAACCGTATCCAAATATTGGCTTTATAGCTCCTCCGCATGCCACACCCCCCCGTCAACCGGGGGGTGGTGTCGGGCAATGGAAGCTATGCTGCAATCCCTTTGACATTTTCCACACATTTCTGGAATTTTTTTGCTCTTTGCTTCCAGCTATCAACTCGTTTCAGTCACTCACCTGTTTCTCGTGCCCCACTACCCCCCCACTGCCGAGTGGATGAGTATCAGAATAATATATCCCTACCATAGTTCATTGTTGTTTTCGTTTTTCTACGCTTCCCCGGACAGAGAAATAGAGGTGGGAGACGGAGGGAGAGCCACATTCCGATGCTAATTCTAATTAAGCGCATTTGATGAAGTAAACGTGTCCCGAGTTTTTACTTCATAAAGAAAACAGCCAAACAAATTCCAAAACACACAACGAAGCGAAAATGAAAATGAAACTAAACGGAACGAAACGAATGTAGGGGAAGGGCAGCGAAAAGGAATGAATCAACGGAAAAGAGAGAGGATTGAGAGGTTCGAGAGGTTTGGGGAGGAGGAAAACCCTCCAGAGCTGAGCACAGATAAAATTTCAACGCGCTCTCATTAAAAACTTTTGGAAAGGCAATAAAAAAAACGCCAGTCGAAACGATTGGAGTAGCGGCACACGCGCCGCGACACTACGATACCCAGTATTTAGTTTCTATATAGCAGATCGATACTGGAACGTCCAGGTGTTCAACGAGCCAATACGATTGGCGCTCTTTAATTTGTTTTTGGTCATTCTAACTATAATTATAGACTTATCGGAACAGGATGTGCCCTCCTTTAATACACCCCTGTTCTCTTTGAGTACCGGGCATAGGAGGAGCCCCCCTACACCAAGCCCGAAAACGAATAAATAAAATAAAAATCTGCAAGAGAGGGTGAGAGAGTGAAAGGCAGAGGAAAATTCATTGTCATTGTCAAAATAAATTTTTCTTTTGAAATCCATTAAAGGTTTCATTCGAGGCGAAATTGTTAGAAAAAGTGCAAAGCCACCAAAAACACCCAAAACCCCAGCCCCAGCCCCGCCCCCAAGCTCAAAGCGAAACCAAAACAGAAACCTAACCGAACAGAACCGAATGGAGAACGGGAAGGAACTAAACGGAATCCACAGATGAAGAACAAGAAGGGAACACAGAGAAAAAAAAAACAGAAAAAATTGAAATTATTACAAAACTTTTGTGATTATCTCGGTTGCCTTCGCCGGACCCGTGGAGCCAACCGGCAGGACCCTGCCTATTCGGCGATTCTTCTGCCAAAGAAAAAAAAAAAAAAGTTAAATTTGTTTCGCCCAATAACTGTCAATGCGGCAAGCGTTTGGGCGTGGCCATTCGCTCGATTTCCCGGACAATTGTTGCGCCAACAGCAGCAGCGAAGGCGGAATAAGGACTGGACTGGGCGGCAAGAAAAAAGGCGAGAAACCGAATTTAAGAATACCCTGGCCAAGTATTTGGGACAAGGAAGGGCTAGAAATACTTCCTGAAGCTGAGAATAATAGAGGGATTGGGCATTCATGAGCTATGAGATAAAACGTATACTTAATCTCGGTTATAAACGGTTATCAATTTCCATACGAAAAATACATTAAAACATTCAAAAAATTAAGACCAAAAATCAAATTTTATAAGAAATTGCCTTAATCCTGCTTTAAAATGCCCAACAACTTCACGAATAAGTTAACACTTTCCCATAATCCGGACAAATGACATCACACCACATCGTTTTTGAAACTAGATCAATGAACGAACAATAAAGTTGGCAAGAGACTGGCATAAATCATCGTTTTATATGGAAACGGAACCAGCTACGTTTTGCAGTGCGTCACAAACTGGATCCGAGTGCCGTAATACCCTGCGGCATGGCTGTGTGGAGAAAGCATCAGCAGTCCATGGCCTTGCCGGGCACGCCGCCTGTCAGTCGGACCCCCACCAATCCCCCTTCCGCTCCGCGGCCAAAAGCAAGCCACTTAATATAGAGATTTATGCTAATCAAGCAAAAAGTATTTGCCGAGAGGGGTCTTCGTCATTCGGCAGAGCGTCTCAGAGTAGTCAAAGAGATGCTCAAGTGGAATGGAATCGCTTCGAGTGTGGCGAGTGGTGCAAAGTGGTGTATGGTGTGTGGTGTGTGGTGTGTGGTGGGTCTCGTCTCCTCGTCATACTAAATGAAAGTGAAAATTCTTATGTAATATGCTAATATTTTCTTGGCGCGCCTTTTGGATATTTGGTATTTTTGCTGCTGCCTCTTCTGTGTGGATTACGAGAGATTTTTTACAATTTTAGATTTATGGAAAAAGCCTGAAGAAAGCCACAAAGAAGAGGGTTTCCGATACCCTTCTTTTGCAGGGGCTATTGGCTTGCCCTACAGAAAAGGACTTGCAGATCATCAATTGCAATGCGGACTTTATTCAAAAATATATTTGCGAGTCTTTGGATGTGTCTTTCAAGGCTTTATAGTGTGTTGCATACAATGCTTTATGATTGTCTGTGTAATGTTTCGATTGCGTATGTCCTCGTGTGCTACCTCACCCTTTTGTGTGTTTTGTTACAGAGAATTGCGTGTGTTTTGTTACAGTGTAGAGTGTACGTGCCGGCATTTTGTTTTGTGTCTGTTACGGTGTTCTTTTAAAGTGTATGGGTGCATTTTTCTGAATTGTATATATCAATCAGATCTTTACGGGTCTTGATCTTTATCCAGCGATTGATGATGGCCAGGCCAGGCTCACCCAAGTTTATGGCCAGGGCATGCATGTTGTCGTCCAGATCCAGAATGAGTTCCTCCAGAGATTCCATCTTCAACACTGGCTTCGAGTTCATGGCCTTCTCCAGCTCCACGTTGAGATAAGTGAGGATCTTATCCAGCTCCTCGACGAATTCGACAATCCACTCGTGCGGTATTTCAAACTTATTGTCACCCATTTTAGACAAATTTTTCGTTAGTGTTTTTTGTTTTTCGGTAATTTTCGAAAATTTTTCTATTGCGAGCAAGTAGTTCTGCTGCCGTTTTACGAAATACAAACTGTTCCTTTGTGTAGGACTCTCAGAGTAGCACTAAAATGTAGACCTACTTTTCTGTGTGGTAATGTTTCTCAATGGAAAACGCAAAGGGGACTTGAGATGTGTCTGACAGGGTATCAGAAGGTTCCTTATTTCCCCCCTTTGTTTGGGGATTTGCTTATCATTTGGCATTCATTTCTTGTGCTTCTCTTTGGGTCTTAATTTATGCCCGTATTTTGGCCAAAATTAATTAATTAACATTTAAATGTGGCGTGTGAAAGGAAAGTTTTATGCTCGTAGTCGAAATATATATTTATGTGCATATATATATTTTTTTATTTGTATTTAAATAATTTATTAATGCACATAATTTTGGGATTTTGGGATTAGATAATGCGACAGGCCATGTAGTTATGTGTTCATTCGTGCATCGATTGTATCTGCGCATTAAAAATCAATTAATCTGCAGAGAAAACATTGTTTATGCTAATCGTATGACAGCCCGGCCTCCGCGAAAGGGAGCCGCGAGACAGCGATTGATAAATGAGGCCCCCAAATGGGACATATTTCTAGAAAAGCCCCTATATCTTACACCAAGGATATCTGAGTGGAAGTCCTGCCAGTGGTTTCGCACAGCGCCCCTTTCAGCCGCCTCGATAAGCCAATAAATGTCCAATTTTGATGGCCCTGCATTACTAACAATCAGAGCCGAAATGCACATTGCATCGCACAGAAAGTTGCGGTAAGCTTTTCGGACCGTTGAAGGGTAATAGTATTCACCGGTAACCGGATTACGGTATTGAGGAGTCCCCGTGCTAATGGAATGTGCCGTGCAGAGAGTCCACTACATAAATGCAGCGAAATGTCGTTTCCAATTGTGGAAATCATTCAGCAACATTCCGTTTGGTTTTTTAAAATAATTTACTTAATTATATTTAGCGTCGAGTGGAATTAAAGGCCATGGCATGGCCTCTGGTTTAAATACATGTAAAATAGTTTGTTGAATAAATAAATAAATGTTGGGCATCAGTTCATCAGCATCAGGGGGTCTGCTTCCCCTCAGTAGGGATTATTGCAGCAGCAGTTCTTGATGAGGGCGTGCTCGTAGCAGGATTTGGCATACAGCAGGGAGCAGTCGTAGTAGGAGCACTGCGGTGGCCGCAGCTGCGGGGCAGATGCTGCACGAAGAGCGAAAAAGAGTGAAAAATGCAACAGGGTTAATATGCATTAAGTGTGGTGGCAAATTGAATGAAATTAATATATGCAACAAGCGTGGTCCAAAAACCGTACATAAATAATGTCGTGTAACGTTCCCAGATTAATTACCTGGAAAATCGCAGCAGCAGGAGTCATGCACCATCTTGTGGGAGCAATAGCTGTACACCGAAGAGTCACAGAGCGGACAGCCACCGCCGCCGCCACCGATGCCGCCACCGCCGGGCTGCTGTGGTGGTCCCCAGGGTGGAAGGGATCCGGATCCAATGCCTGGACCGAGACCTGGTCCAAGGCCAGGCCCCAAGCCATTCCCAAAGCCATTCTGGCCACCAAATTGACGGGCTAAGTCGAAGAAAAAGTGTCCAAGAAAGGTTGTAGATCTTTAGTGTAGTGAAAGACTATAATTCTAATTCTATAAAAACTAGAAATATGCTAGCAGATATACCACAATGCTGTTAACTGTTCTTCTACTAGGCGCAAAAGATTCTTAGTCAAAGAAAATGCCACCTATGGAAGACCTCAGACCTATGGAACACTCACCTGCGGTCTCCTGTTTGGCCACAACCAGGCCAATCAGCAGGGCCATGGCCATTAGCAGAGGGCCCACACTGCGTATGCTGAACATTTTGTTGGTTCCTTCGAATAGCTCTCCTCCGAAATGGTGTGGCTGTGGTGTTGGTGTTGCTGCTGCTGGGGCTGCCGTGCCGCGACTGCAGTCGATGAAACTTTTATACAGCCACGATCGATTGGTGTGTCGATTGGTCTTTCGGCTTTCGCTTTCAATTTGTGACAAATTCATAAATAAATTGATGTGATGGCCCTTGAGGCAGCACGACAACAAAGCGACTCACTGACTGACTGACTGACTGACTGACAGATCTCTCAGTTGCTCTCAAAGGTGTTTCTGTCTCTCCCAAGATCTTGGCGAACGAAAGTTACGGGGGCCCCCAAATGAAGTGAAGCTCAAGTTTATTGTTGGGGCATACAGATTCAGATTCAGATTCGGTTCGATTCGTTTGACAAGTTGATTGGCAAAACTCAGCCGAAAACTCCCACGCCTTCAAAAATGTTTTCAGATTTCTTTCTCTGGGCATTTTTTTGTGTGTTTGTGACACATTTCTCGATTGGCATTTGGCCGGAGACTGAAGAGCTCTTTGGCCTGCCTCTTGCCTCTTGGCTCTTGGCTCTTGCCACCTGCAGCTGCAGCAACCTTTTCAACTTTTACTTTTTCCACTCCATCTTCTTCTGTTAATTGCTTCATCTCTTCCCCTCTCCATCTCTGTCTATCCATGAGATATACTTTTTTCCCAGACTCGCGGAAGCAGCCGACGCGGCGCTTCGCTTCGCTTATGTAAAATTAATAAGACATAAAATAAATTTCGAATTATGCGCATAAAACAAACATCATCAGAAACCGATTTTCGACCGTCTTCTTTGGTGTTTTTCTCGACTCGTCTCGTTAATCGTTTAAAGCGAAACGCGAAACGCAAAGTAAAAGTGTTTCATTTTGATAGCTCTCCCGCTGTCTTCGCTGGCTTTACCTTTACCTTTACCTTTGCTATGTAATCTGATCTTGATATTCAGTTGGAAATTGAAATTCATTCGAGTTGCTAATTGATCTTTTAACGGGGGGCCCAGCACAGCACAGCACAGCCCAGTCCAAACCAATCCAATGCCCAACTGGGTTGAGCTTTTCTCATTATGCTAATAGATTGAAGCGATGCTAAAAGTGCCCCGGAGTTGGCCATAGAGTGCACAAATCACTCGGCTCTTGGGCTGTGCCTGTGCGATTCTATCAGATCTTCATCTGCTTTCACTGGCTCCCATAATCTTCCGTTTACAATGCACTGGGAAACAGTTAGCAAAAGAACTATGGGTATAGATATTAAGGGTTGCAGAAGCAGAGGTTATCTTTTAGAAGACTCCTTTGGGCTGGGCAATAATCTAGGATTTTTCGAACCGAAGGAAACACGGTTCTATCTTTCTCAGCTTGGGCAAAGTGTTCCCATTTTTGTGCAGTGTAATACACATCTTGAAAGGCAGTGCTGCTGCTGCTGCTGGCTCGAAAGTTGATGGACCGCTCTGTGGCCCTTTTCCCAGTTTTGTCGTTTATCTGGCTCGTTGAAAACCGAACCGAAAAATGGCTCCCAAATGTAATTTCATTTAATTAACTCTTCCCCGACAGTGTGGCTGTGACTGTGGCTTCTGGCCAGTTGATTGAGCAGTTGATGCTGCTGCTGCTGTTTCGGGCCTCTGGGAAGAGGCTGGGGTTGGGGCTGGCTTGAATTTGAATGCAACGAGAAACGATGACAACGATGTCTACGATGTCTGCGATGATGATGGGCATGGAGATGGGGATGAGAAGGAGGAAAGCGACCATAAAGTGCTTCAAGAAGAAGAAGGGCCTCTGGAAAACAAATATGAAATGTTCATTTTCATTTTTATTTCCATCAAAGATACGAGAAGGCACGAAAAGTAGAGTGCAGAGTGGAGCAGAGAGAGAGAGAGAGAGAGAGAGAAGGAAGAGTGTGGGCAAAAATGTCAGCTAAGAGAGTGTATCTGTCAGTACGTGTATCTCGTTGTGTGCTTGTGTGTTGACTATCTTGTAAATTTGTTGCACGTTTTTGATGCAAATCCGCTTGTCATGTGGAAGGACACACACACACGCACACACATTAGAGATACCCAAGTGATGTCATCACCTGCTTCAGATGCAGATACAGATACACACTTGTAGATGGCAAAAGAGATACTTGTAGAAGATACACAGGTAGAGGTACTCCACGCCATGTCACAGTTTCGAAAGAAGCTCCGAAAAGTTAATCTGTAAGCCAGGCAGGTCGTTTTGCATTTGTATCTGTATCTGTGACCATGTATCTCAATTTGTAAGTGCAGCTCAATGGGCAACAGAACAATGCGACAGTGTCGATCGCGCGGTACGTGCACATATGTATCTGTGAGATACATGTGATGTAACCGCCGAGGCGGCATTACTTTTACCACGCTTCTTCTCCACCATCTCTCTCTCTCTCTCTCTCTCTCTCTCTCTGTCTCTTTCTGTCTGTCTCTTCGTGTCTCCGTGTTTTATTTATTGGTTTTCGTTTCACTGGAATTTATCTCCCTCTTCGGAGCTCTCTCTTTCTTCAAGGGGCCCCTCTGAACATTTTTTTCCGAGCATAGTCTTGGGTAAACAGGTCACTCTTCCCCCCGCCGCTGCCGCCGCTGCTGCCACGGCTGCTGCTGCCTCCGTTTCTGGTAATCGGCCACTTTCCAGCCAGCGACGAGTGACCTCAATTAAACACATGCCACGCCCCAGCCACACCACACCTGTCCCCCCTGCTGCCTGCCACCTTCATTCTGTTCGCGCATTGTTGGATGACCACAAAAATTGATGCCGCAACAGAAATACCTTTTTGGGTACAGGTACAGATACAGATAGTGAAAGGGAGGCACGGGGCTACGCCACAAGGGAATACACGAGGGGCGGTTACATGGGGCGTATGCGACAAGGCATATGCAAAAATAAACCCATAAACAATGCCACAAAGAGGCACAACCATTGCCATGCTAAAATGGTCTGTATATGTTTTCAATATTGATTTATTTGTATCTACAACTATGTGCATGTATGTATGTCCTTTCTGATGGGCCAAAGGAATATAGACATGGCCAAGACTGCAGTGCTTTACGGTTCAGAAATATATACATATATATATATATATAGGTATAGGTTACTAGAAGTCAAAAGATCACTTCAAAATATACTGACTAATTATCGGGTATACACAAGTAGAGCCGCGATCCTTGCCACGGCTCACAGCAATCCCGCTCGTCTTCTAATATTTTCTGTTTTTTTTTGCGAAACCCACTTGAGTTCTCATCTCTTTTCCTCTCTGTCTCAGAACATATGTATTTTCTTTGGCCCACGAGATTTTTAGGGATTTAGGGTTGATTTTTATAGGAAGTTTGTTACCTTTTGCTCTGTATTTGATGGCTAATTGATTTGAATTTCAACGCTCGACTGTACATTTTGGATGCACTATTTATACCTTTGTTTGAGCTTTATGAAAATATTATTCTGGACCTAGTTCCGGTTCGTGGGGGGCTAATCCTTTGGGAAGCATTTCTAATGCTGCTCCAAGATCTGTTTATGCCTTCTCCTTCATTGAGGGCATTTCCTGAAAAGAAGTATCCATTTCTGTAATTATCAACTTCTTCATATTTGATGCAATAACATACCAAAAGTTATAGCCCTCCCAACGGGACTTTTTGTCTCTGTCTGGCATTCGTTTGTCGCTTGGCAAAACTGCATTTCATCTGTAAATTTTGCCAATATTGAATATTACATATGTACATATGCATGTATTTTTGAATATTTTGCATATTGCTTTTTAATTTGCATTTTCCTTCCTTTTACTGTGTGTTTCTTTTATTTCTGGCAATTTGCTGAAATTTATTTACAACAAAAATTCCGCCTAGCAAGTGCGAAGTGCTAACTGCACTGCACTGCACAGTCCAAAGTCCACAGTCGCCAGTGCCAGTGCACTGAGCATTGTGCACTGTGGTGGTCGCTGTTGTTGTTCGAGTGAGTTTTGTGGATGGTGCTGCTATTATTACTGTCATTTTTATTGTTTTGCGGGTACTCGTATTGTAGTCGTTTTTGTTTGGTTCACAAAACCAATATTTGGGCTCTCAGGAGGAGGTTGGTCCTGCTCCTTCTCGTTGGCCTTGTCGTTTCGTTTGTGTTTTATGTTGATGTTGATGTTTGTGGAATATTTACACAAGTTATTTGCAGACAGCATGTAAATATGGAAATATTTAAATAAAATAATAGGATCACAAAAGCACCAGCCATCCATCCATCCATCCCGCCAGCCAGCTATCCAGCCATCCAGCCAGCATATATGTACATACGACTAGAATGAAATTATATTTTCGAAAAACACATTCTCATACGTATATGTGTAAATGCAACCCATAAATTCCAATCGAATTCGGACAGCAGCCAGTGCATTTTGTGGTGGGGAGGGGGGGGGGAGATGGTATCTAATTTCCATCTGCCATCTTTCAGATACGATTCCTGCCTCACCTGTCTGTCGGCTTGATGTTGAAAGTATCTTTTGGGAGAGTTTTCCTGCTCAAGGGCTAATGAAATGAGCTATCACATTTTCTAAGCAAAAACCTATAGCTTGCTTGAATTATGTATAGAAATAATGAGGTTTTCTTCAAGTAACATTATCTTCCAGTCCGCAAATATAAGATATAGGGATTCGAAGGAAAAAACATACTTTTTGGAGCTAAGATTCAAGCAAATACCTGTAGAACCATACAAATGGTCTTCATAGAAATACAAAGATCAAGAATATATATAGAAAAGGCTTCCTATACAAAAACCTGACCAGAACTATCGTATCTCCTGCAATAAGCTAATGCCCAATGCAGTTGCGTCTTGTTTGTTTGCGAGGAATAAGATACAGATACAGTGACAGATTGGGAAGGGCAGGGCCGCACACACACGCAAATATAATATAGTTTTTAAACCATAGAAGGATGGAGATGGAGATGGTGATGGTGATGGGGAGGGGGATGATGAAAAAGAGGAACACCAACGCCAACGCAGTGTTG